TTCAAACGCTCATAAAAATTTAATTTGACTCTCCGGTAGACAAACTTGTAAGGAATCTTTATTAAATTTTTAAAACTTAGATATAAGTAGAAAAATTGTTATGTATTTCTAACTAAATATAATTTGCTAATTTTTGTGATTTTTACGAATTTTGTCTAGTTTATTCTAATCAAGGTTTGTTAAGCTCATAAAAAAATATTGTGGATTTACGCTCAACTTTTTTTTAAACTTCCATTAACAACAACTTGTAAGGAACCTTGTATTATATTTTCAAGTTTTTTATCAGAGAAAATCTTTTTTTATCGATTCGAGTTTAAAAAAAAACAAATAATAATCGAAAATTTAATATGCCTATAAATAGTTCAACACAAATCAAAATTTTATCAAAATTGTATGTCACATAGAAAATGCTCACTCAAATATTCAGTGAAAATGTCGTGTATCTACGGTCATTTTTGCTAGAATTACCCTAAAAACCGAAATCGATATTTTCAAAAAATTCCCGCTTTTCCTAAATTTTTTGTTTGTTTATCTTGTTGCTTTTGAAAACAATTGGGAATTTTAAATTTTGACCTCCCGAATGCACCAACTAGATTCACTTTCCTACCATAAACGGTGCTGTTTAAGAAAATCGAAGCAATTTTACTGCAAGAAATCGTGATGACAGATACACAAAAAAAAAAATGATAAATAAATAATATAAAAACACACATAATCATTGTAAAATCAATACATTCATCGCTCCGCTCAGAATCTAAAATTACAACAATTAAATTGAAAACGTTTAATTTAAATATTATTATGCTTTTTAAACGTAACTTAAAATGCATGGATCTTTATTTAAAGTTACTATAAATTGTAAGATATATTTTAAAATAACTTGAGAAATTACTGATAATATGGAACATGGTGACAATTTGAAGGAAAATGTTGTTTGAGTTTAATAATTTTACATCAGTAATGAGTAATGACCAATTCAAAAATTGTGAGGTGCGCAGATAATGTACACCCTATACATGGATACATTTCTTTGAAAAAAGGTTTCTATTGTTCGTAAATTGTGCGCAAATGAGTTGTAAAAAAGGTAAATGTGCGCAAATGAGTTGTAGCCCTAGCCCAAAAAGTTCAATTTTATTTCTGTAATTATTATTATTTGCATTATATTATCAAAATACCTTATTATAATATCTTATAAGTTATATAAGTAATAAGTGTATAGATTATAAATTGGACATACTATGTCCGTGAATTAAATAAATAAATAAAGACATCATGTTACCAATTATAGTGGAGCATAACTGACTAGGTATTTTTCAATTATTATTTCCGGTCATGAAATAAAATATTTATCGTCGTAAAATACATTTTAAGCAATTCATCCAAACTACAGCAATAACACTTTTTCCGTTTCCGCAATTTCTATATAATATGGTTGTCAAAACCAATACGGAAATATAACGATTTGATTTCACAAAATCGTTCAACCTCATGTCAGGATATTTTAGATTAGAGCGGAGCGATGAAGTGCGTTTTTTTTGTGCCTGTCATCACCTTTACCGAAAAATCAAATGAATTTTTTATGAGCGTTTGAAGTTTAAATTTTTACAACATTGAATATTCACTAGTAAATAAACGATTTTTTTCAATTTTTTGCTGTTCAAACATGAATAACCGTAGATAACAGTAGATATCTACTTGAAAATGTCATCAAATGTTTATTTTATAATTTTCTTACACGACAACATCTTCAAAATATTTTAAATATTTTTGAGCTAATTATAGATGTTTAAAAAAATGTGTGGGTACTTGAAACTTTTATAGTATGTTATTTAATTTTATAGACACAATAACATAATTTTCAAATGCAAGTATGCAATGTTTTCGGTAAAAATTGTGTTAAAAATAGTAAAATAAACTACGTTATAGCAACGATAAATATAAAATATACTCAGTAATAAAGGCTTACAGACCAGAAGTGTTAACCTAACCTCCAGAAGTCAGAATCGTGTTTTGTGATTTTATATGACATTATTAAATTCAAATTTCACACAGTCATTACAGTGAGCCACACGGGCCACACGACACCTGATGTAGGTACAGCAGAGCAATATCCACTTGCCCAAATGTTTCATATTTTAATAAATTATAATAAACGTATAACTTATAGCCGAAAGGTACCACGAGCACTATCACAATTAAATACACAATTAGGTACCTACACCCTCTGAGAGTCTGAGAAATATCTTGAGCAGTTTCAATAAACTACGTTTCAGCAGTTAATTGTTAACAATAAGCCTAATAATTATGATTAATTATCATACGCATCATTATAATACCACTTTTGTACCTACGTATTTTAAAAAAAATGTGTTGACTTACATGGTATGTGTTGTTCGCTGTTGTCTGTGTACACGGTTGTAATAGCTGATGGTTTTTCGTTCAAATATATCACGTGCGTTTGTTTCAACCCTTTGAATATCTGAAAAAAATTTGAAACAAAAAATGTTGAACTCAAATATATTGGAACCTATACGTTTTTACTTATGATATAATATTTTGAAACGTATAGTACTTTTAACTGAGGGCTGGAAGTTCCCGAACCGAAATCCACGGCCACGAATTTATTATCGTTATCGCCGTGGACATCCGACAACATCATACAGCAGTTGTACGTTTGCAAATTGATCGGTGGGTTGATATCCACGTCTATCCAAGTCGAATTCCTGTAAAACGACGGTACGTTTAATGACAATACTAATATTGCGATGGAATAGTGATTAATAAATAATATTAAACTGTGAAAAGTAGCTGATAAGTTTACATTTCAAATATTTTTTCCACATGAAAATTACAGTTATAGAGATCGTAACGTTGCTATAAACGGAGTTCGAACATGTATGCATTTGTGCACGTATTATACTGCAGCGTTTTTGTACACTCGCCGTATGCGACGATATTGTATTGTGCACAGTAGGTATCCTTTTGTTTCAGAACTTTTCGGTGTGTTGTGCGATCGGTCGCTTAGCAACTATATTTCCGTCCTCGGGCAGTTTACCTTAATATATAAATTGAAAGCGTTGTATATAGGTTATAGACGTTTAATTTCATGCATACATATTATTATTTTCCCTTATTTCTATGACAAACGATAAGTGAACTGTGATCTAAAACAGGAACTGAAACTTTGAATGGTACACAAATGGTGTTATTTTAAAACATATATTAAACAAATTAAACGTCCATAAAATTCAGTATATTGTTTCTCTTCACAGAGTATGATTTTTTTTATCAATGCGTTTAAAAAAAATGTACTGAATTATACTCCTCTTGAGATTGTGAAATGAAAATATTATCAACTGGCTTTTAAAAATGAAATGTTTATAGGGGGTTTAGCAACTCTCTTAAAGATGACAAAATTACGTAAAATATAAGAATTTTGCATTTGACTTTCAAAAATTGAGGGTTTGATTTAGAATTGGCGCTTGACCACCAATTAATTAAAATAAATAGTATCTTATAGTTTAAACCTATGTTGATTAATTTGAATACGGTAACGTACAAATATATATGCACTGTGGTAAAAGGGATGCTAACAATTTTAAAAAATCTACACAAAAATATTCCCACTATACATTCTGATTTAGGGTTATTGACTTTTCAATTAACTAATAAACAAACTGTAGTTATACATTGATGGAATCATATAGAGTATCAATCTGTGTTATCCTCATTTCAGAGCCTATTTTTATTCGTAATACGCCAATCACTTATTATGGGTAGTATACGAAATTATAAAGTATGTAATGCATTATATTTTGTAACTAGTAATTTGTTAGTTTTGATAGTATTAACATTAACATTATTTTAATAATCATTAATATTATATATTTATATGATAAATTATAATTTTTTTTCGATATGGCAGTGATAAAAGTGGATACGTTTGAGTTATGGACTTACGGTTACGACTTACGAGTTAGGACCACTTTGTACATGTAATTATTTATTAATTATTTAAAAACTAAAACAAGGATATGGTATTGCGGGGAGATTAAAAAACATATTCGTGATCAATGATCATCATTACTTTAAAAAAGAGCATAGTCCCCTCCACGTATTTGTGTGCTATATTGAAATGTGTGAGAAAAAAATTGCTCCTCAGTTCTCACACACGTGCAGGTATATATATATATAATATATATATATATATATGCGTATATGCGTACCAAGTACATTAGTGAGAATACCACACGAATAATGGGCGTGAAAGTTTTTAATTAAAATTTAAGTCGTTTTTTATTTATTCACTTGGTATTTTCGTTCCGTTCTTACATTGATAAATATTTGTAATGACACAACAATGTTCGCACAGACACCTCGAAAATGATTATAATTTTATTTTTATTTTTTTCTTATTAAAGCCGCAACAACAAAGGTTATTGTCTCGGGACATTATACGGTAATACATTATGATTATTATATTCGCAGCTATAACCGTTTAAACTGCAACAGCACTCGCCACTCAGATGATGCATCTTAAGCCTGTAGCCTATAGGTATAGACCTAATCGATGACGGCCAACATATAGCTATAGGTGACTAGGTACGCCTTATAATTATCTCTATGACTCCTTAGTCTACATTATGCACACAGACGAATAACAAACATCCGTCGGCGTAAAAATTAAAATCATCGCAGTGTTTACCTATATAAAAATATGCGGGCTCTACGTATAATAAGGTAATAGCGTATAATAAAACAAATAATAGTGCCGTACACTTACCAATGCCTAACACTCTAACATCGTATTATCTCTGCTGGGTGGTACAATGTCGACATATTATCGAAATATTACAGCGAGATAATATTAAATGAGTGAGCTGGGTCGGCGCAACCGCTTACATAGGTGTAGTTATGTAGTTATCTCCGCTCAAGTGCATCCGTAAACATTGATATCATAGGTATTCGTCAAAACATTAAAGTTCCACATAGGTAGGTACAGCAGTATGCGCCCGACTGGTTCGAATAGAATATTTTCACGTTACCTGAATAATATTATATCGTAATATACATCCGTAATACACGGATTTTCGTTTACCTAATCGTAACAACAGTCTATATACAAACGCATTGCTGCAGGTAATAATAAATGTACAATATCATGTAATAGATGTGTAGTTTGGCCCGGTTTTTGAGTTAATAAAACACAATTAAATCGTATTCGTAGGTTAATCTTGCAGGTTTAGTGTACAAGTATAATCAAAATGGAATTCAAACGAAAGTTGATTTTTCACTCAAACCCATTATTTCGCCGTGTATATAAAATAGCTTAACAGGAACGAGGTAAATAATATTATGTTCTTTTGTTTAAATGCATTGTGAAAATATTTCTCAGTTTATAAATTACTGAAGGCTTACTGAAAGATCTGAATAGTTATTAGAATTTCGGTAGAATATAAAATCGTATCAATTTTCATAGATTAAAAGCGAAACTCACAGATGCAAACAATTTTTTACTGGACAATCGGTTCATTTAATTCCCGATATTTATACAATAATTGTGCCTACGAAGTGTTGCCATATTTGTGGTAATATACAAATACAATGTGGTAACACACTAACACATCCAACCGCTATAGACAAAAAAGCCACGACTATTATACAGATATAAGCATAACATAGATAGAAAAGTAAGACATTTATTGAAAGCGTTCAAAATGGCTAAAATTTCTTATTGCTCCAATTTCTTAGGTATTGATTAAAATAAATATTATAATCATTTTAAAAACATATGAACAATAACAAGTTATAGATTAGTATATAGTATATTTACCTATATTTTACTGGCAATATAGGTCTGGATTTGGACTGTGGAGAGGAAAAACTATTCCAACCAAAAATATCCAATACATTTTTGAACATGTATTTAACTGTATTGACATTTTTGGAAAAATTTTGCTGAAATTGCTTGATAATATTTTAATTTATTAAACCCGTATAGGCTTATATTAGTTAAGGGGTAAATTAAAAAGATGTTGATTAGGGTAAAAAAACATTTAAAACACACAGCATATTAATATTGTTACATAGTAATATGTCTAAGAATAAAATCAATAGATTTTAGATCAAATTGTATATTGCAATTTAGAGATTTTTAAGTTTTAAGGGCGTAGTGTATTACCTGTTTATATGCAATTTTAGTGTGTACCGATGATAATGATTTTAGCTCATGTTTGTGGATAACTCACAAATTCTGTGAGTAATTGTATTCACTCTGTTTGTATCATACTATCATGTATGATTTTAATAATAGAATGTCTAAATATATATATCAATAAATTATATATATTTAGTCATAAATAATAGTACCTAATGTCCTAACACGTCGATGTCGAATAATAGTATCAAAAATGTATTTCATGCTTCGAAGTTGTGATGTGTACAAAAAAAAAATGGTTTTTGTAAATTGATTGCATGGGAAAAGTTCTTATACTGTAGAGAATCATCATGAATAGTGTTATATAATGTAATTAAAAATAGTGGAGTACTTGTGAAATTTTCGAGGGGTTGCCCCTGTTGCCCCACCCCACAAATATGGCACTGCTTAAAAAAAATCCTGAAAAAAGAAAGTAATAGGCAACAATAATAAGCGTGCACATCTAAGACTCTAAGCGGGACGATAAATGTATTTATTTTACAAAGATGTGTGTTTTTTTGTCTATCCCTTTTTGAGGACAGTAAAAATGCTCCGAATTTCTTCAACAGTATCTTTTCTGGTAGGAAGTGAATCTAGTTGATACTTTGGGGAAATAAAAAATTTCCAATAGTTTTCAAAAACAGCAGGAATAACAAACAAAAATTAAGGAAACCTGGGATTTTTACGCAAAACCAGTTTTAGTAACTCTAAACAAAATAATCGTATATAGACCACCCTAACATTTTCAAAATATTGGGAATCTTTTTGAGCTATTTATAGGCATAAGAAAAATTTGAGTTTTATTTGTTTTTTTTAAATTATTGTCGATACAAAATTGTTTGCTCGATCAAAAAACTTGAAAATGTAATACTACATTCCTCATAAGTTGTTGTTAGTGGAAATTTAAAAAAAAAGTTGAGCTTAAATCTACAATCATTTTTTATGAGCGCCTGAAGCTAAATGTTGACAAAAAAAAAGGCTCATGAAAATTGACAAGCTATTTTGAGGTAGAAATTCACAAAAATATTTCTATTTATATCTAAGCTTTGAAAATTTAATATAAGATTTCCCTTAAGTTTTCCTACATTCAACAAAAAAATAAAGTTTACCGGAAAGTCAAATCAATTTTTCAGTTATTAGTTTGAAGTTGAAAATTGGATATTATTCACCCGTAAATTAACAAAGTTCTCATACAACGATTTTCTTATTTTGTTATTAATCACAAAACTATAAACCGTAAGTACTTAAAATTTTCATAAAAAATATATTGTATCATTTTCTATACACGATAACATTTTCAAAATATTTCGAACCTTTTAAAGTTTAGTTATAGACATATTCAAGTTTCAATTTATTTAGTATTTTATGCTGTAAATGTCAATAAAATGTTATTGGTTTGATCAATAAGCTTGAAAATTAAAAACAAGGTTCCTCAGAAGTAGTTTTAATAGGAGTTGAAAAATATTAAGGATCCATAAAAACGATTTGTTTTTTACAAGCATTTAAAGCTAAAATGTTGACAAAACTGATCAATATTTCGAAAATGTTTTTTATATTTTGTAGTTAAAAAATTATGAATTGTTCAATTGCTAAGAATTGATTATACAAATATATACACACAGTTTTTTTCCAAACATACCGAGTTCAAATTACATAATATTAAAACTAAGAATAACGGTTTTAGTTATTATGTTGTAATTTTAAAATATTACTCGTGGGTATATAAATCTTGTGTACTATTATATTTTATACACACAATGACATTTTGAAATGTAATTTTTTGACCAAAAATGAATTTAACCTATAACTTAGTACTAATGCCTAATGGTAAAATAAATTATTTTAATCACAACAGTATCATCAAAATAAAATATACACGAAGCGCAATATTATAGGCTGACAGGTTAGGTTCTATCGTCTACGATCAGATTCGTTTTCGCATGCAATGATTTTACATCATTATTGAGTTCAAATTTGGCACATCCATCAGGGGCGTACCCAGGAAGTTTTCAAAGGGGGAGGGGGTCCAAATTTCTTTGACATGTAAAAATATTATGCAATCAGTGATGGTTTACACCTTATACATTTTAAATTCTGTCAACCCATGGGGGGGAGGGGGTCCAGATCCGACCTCCCTCTCGCCCTTGGGTAAGCCCCCTGACATCCATTACCTCCAGGGACTCGCTGGGCACCTGATGTACAGCAGAAGCGCAGACCTTTAAACGCCCCCCCCCCGCCGCTTTTTGGTTTTTCAAGTGCATTATTAATAGTACATCGAGTTCGGGGAAGTCTCGGAGAATCACAAATGTCGAGCACCGCCGCGATTAACATAATCATATAATAATAATAATCTACGTATTTTCGTGCAGATAAAAGTCAGTCGGCCGTCGCCATGAAAGCCGGCGGCGGAACGCTGGTCCGGTTGACGCTGAGCGGCGGCGCGTTGGTCGCGTCCACCGCGGCGGCGTGCTGTTTCCTGTCCGTGTGGTCGTACTGGTACTACGAGCTGGACGCCGACTGCGTCCAGGCGCGCGACTGCAAGTGCCTGCTGTTCGGCACGAGCTTCGCGGGCGGCGGTTTCGTGGGCGGCGACAGGTTCGCGTGCCAGTACGTCGCGTACTCGTTGCTGGCGTCCGCCGGGCTCGCTGTCTACATGTGCGTGCACTACGGCTGCCGGTTGCTACTGTGTCCCGGCCACGGCCACCGCCGCCGCCTGCACCACCAGCACCACCGGCACCACCGGCCGGTCAGGACGGTGGCCGAGACCAGGCCCGAGGACGGCACCACCGGTTGCAACAGGTACCTATACACACATCGTCATTAATTAACCTGTCCCGTATACAAGTAGTTGTTTAACAATACTAATTAATAATCAAATTAGCTTATTGCTTATAATATATTGGTACGATTATAAATAATATATAGTAATATATAGTTTGAACTCATATTGGTAGGTATAGGCTTGTAAAATCACATGCTATCGACCACTTCATAATAACACGTTGCAGCTAGTATGAGGAAACTTATGTACTCATTTTTAATCTTTTGTACTCTCAAACAAAAATTTTATCATGCCTATGTCGAAAATTATTTTTGAACAAATACACGTACATTTTTATTATTTTGCACATGTAAAAGTTAAAATTAAAAATCTGTTGTTAAATTTTGGCTGCAACAACACATACATCTTCATTTTTATATTTTGTTAACTTTTTAATATACATATCTGAGAACCAGTGCCCTGTGGGGTGGCTCGTGTACCTATATGTATTATATTGTGCACAGGTGAGCGTGCACTACCTATACCCAAACTCAAGTAAAATTGTAAACATAAATCATAACAACACAACTAAGTAGGTACCTGTAGTGTTATTAAGATTAAAATGCATCGTATAAAAATATTAATATAGAAATTCAGAATACGAAAATAATATAATATACTTTGTATTGGATTATTTCGAATGAGAAACGGCGGAAAAAATGCACTTTACCACCCCTCGCAAACTTATATTCATTATTTAAGAACGATGGTGCAGTCAGAGTTTGTCGGTCAGATTTAGTTTCGAAGTTGTCGGCTTTAGAAGTTAGCGTTTATGCGTTTTTACTGCGTTTATCACGTCTTTTATGATTATTTTAATTTTTTCTCTTGAAACTTGCGTACATTAATGAGTTAAGAACGCTGGCACTGTCAGAACTTATTTTTTGGACTTAGTTTCGAAGTAGTAAATTTTGGAAATTTAAAATTTTGTGTTTTTTACGAATACCCACAACGCTATATATATTATAATATAGTGATTACACAGTTAGCGGCACTCGTCGCTGCGATCCTCGGTGCCGTCGCTTCGCTCCGCCAATCGAAAATATCCCTCGACTTGCTATGCAACACCACCTAAAGTAGGTCACAATTCAAAGGGTAAGTTATGTCGTAGTATATGGGCGTTCGTCGTTTTTCACTCATCAATATACGTAAGTATCAAGAAAATAATTGTGCACATTAGATTCTGTGCACGTAACCAATTCAATTGTTTCCATTGAATTATTTTCGATGCACTCGTTGGCATCATAATTTATTTTTACTCTCGCTCGTTTATTACATTCCGATTATCAGCTGCGATAATATGTTCGTATTTCGTAAACAATTATTTGAAACAAACTTTAATATATGTATATATATAAATACCAACAGGATACAGTATGATCACTATGATCACAATTTAAGGAAGGTAACACGAAATAATTCTGCTAAATGAACTTAAACCATTTAATAACAAAAAAATTACATACATATACCTAAAATTAATAAATCAAACATTTTTTTTTCAAAATTGAATAATGGCTGTCATTCATTCAATTTGGAACTCAGTGCCAAGTATTATGAGTCAAATTGAATTGAAAAAATTCGTTTAATCTAAATCATGTGCTGAAAATTGGTGTTAGCATTATTGAAAAAATAAATTTTATACGCGTCCACCGTAAGTGTTAAGAATGTGAATGTTTCGCAAAATATAATGTATTTCAATAGGTACCTAGGAGAGGTTTCAGTAAGAACTATTCAAAATGTACATTTTTTGTTATATTTTAACTATCGATTTAACAGAGTTGAAAAATATTATTTATTTACCAGACTTGAACCGACCGGCGGTGTTCTTGAGTCGACAAGTAATAGAAGCGTGAGATTCAATCGAATTAAAAACGATGAAAAAATATATTTCCAAGAAAAATAATTAATTTAACACTTCCTACCTCAAGCAGTCACGCCTTTTTGAATACAAACGTTTTAGTCCACAGGTACAGATAGACAGTTTAACGATTTGTCTTGCAATCATTTTCGCAGCCATGGCGTTAAACATGTTTATTGCGTCGATTGTACTGAGCAACGGATACATTTCGACCTGTCTGCAGTACGTGCATCGAGTGAAAAGTTTTTTGATGGTACCTAATATTTTATTGTACCTATAGGTTATTAGTTTGTACCGTGGTTATCTAGCTACTATCGGTTAGTAAGTAACCGTGGTTTGTACCTACCGAACTGCTATTGCCTATGGCAACTATGTTAAGCCGGATTCACGACTATACGCGGTGTGTCGTGCCGTGCGAGGGATTGGTAACTATCATGGTTACAACCGCATGTCACCATATTGGTTTAAAACTCGAGCTGTAGTTAAATCTTGGTATACTCGGTTGCTACCTGGTTAGTGTACATGATACCAAAAAAGTGTAACGTCCAATCTGCAATGATGCGGTTTGAACGACATGACACGACACCCGACGCACCTATCTGTTAGCTGTGAATAATTCGGCTTAACTAGTTCAACAATATTAGTGGGTATAAATAATGTGTTTTTGAACGATTTTCAGGTTTCCGGAAACATGGTGGAATTGATAACAAATCGCATGTCTTGTGGGACCATTTACGATTTCATGGACTACTTACAACCTCCATCGCGACAAGTGACATATGAACTGATCCATCGACACAAGGCCAATCCACGAGATTCTGTGATTAACACTTCGGCACTTTTAATTGTATCTATTGTACTGTCGTGGTTGAACACATTAATATGGGTCGTGTTTACGTTTTGTACTTATTATTTCAAGTGAACAGGGTAGGAACCTACCCCTACACCGTCCTGTTGAGGAATTTTATACACTTACTTGCTTGTTGAAAACAATTTAGATTTGTGTGTTAAAGTTTTGCCGTTGGTTACCTTACTCTGTCAGCGTGTCGAAAATAACCAAAAAATCAAGCAACAAAATATCCAACTACTATGAATAAAATATATTTTATCACATTTCCTTAATGTTATTATCGTCACCTATATACTACCAATGTAGTAACCTGGGTCGGAGAGCAATACAATTGGAGGTGCAAAATAACAAGCCTAACAAGGTATCTCCACTTTTTTGTTCAAAATGAATATTTTAACATACCTATTCTAGTAGTGGAAAATGTTGTCTACATTTTGGTGTAATAACGGTACCTATATATATCCACTAGATTATACTTGAATTATTTAAATGTATTCAAAGGTAATAAGACTCTGCGTATTGTTACGTCTAAAAACAATAATTCGGTACTAATTTGATCAAAGGCTGGTTAGTTTTTTTTTTTTGTATATATTTGACTTTATTTTGAAGAATTACCATCTAAACCTTTTTTACAGTAAAAGGGGGGTTAGTAAAACTGTTTTTTTTAAGTCTTCCGAAAAATTACGAAAAATTGAGTTATCTTGTTATTGCACTTGCATCTTAAATTTTTGATTTAACCCGGGTACCTAAATGTGTTGGTCAACAGCTACTCCTAAAGCACAATTCTAGCATTTGTAAATTTGTTACATTGTATATAAATTATAAATCATGCACTTTATACCTAGGTAACTACCCACACACACTACAGAATTGACCATTACAAAATTACACATATGAAACTTTTCGACTCTGTCCGAATTATTATCTGCATATTATACGAAAGGCGTGTCTGTGGCCAAAATACAGAGGCCAGCTATAGCCGATAGGTATAGCTGTAGTCTATCAAATTGTTGTATAGATAGCTAGGTAGTTAATTTTTTTTGGTCATTAATTAAATATTTAGTGTGACTGTTTTCGAACTGTTTTATTACGTTCTTGTTGGTGATATTACCTTTGGCTAGGTATCTATAGGTTTTTTAATCTTTATATGTTACCACCTCGTCGACCAGCAGTTCTGAGCATAATATAAAATACTATGAGTAAATAATAAAAATAAAATATATGATATAATATTTATCTTTTATAAAGGTTATAAACTTGTTAAATGGCTGGTAGATCACTTTAATTAATTATATCCCATCATAGTAACTAGTTTATTTTCTGTAACCAAAAATATTAATAAATAAAATGCAGCATCATTTTCAGTTAAATTTTCTCAGTATTTTGTTATCATCAATTAGAGAATCTCCCATTAAATCCTTAACAAAACAGTTAGAAAAAATAAGACACTTCTTCAGCTTCTAAATATACTAAATCAAATGTAGACACTATGTTACCAAGTAAATGTATATATTAGTATATTATTATTACCAAGACATAATATGTATCAACATTTAAAAATCTATATAATACAATGTTATATGCCTTACACTTATATGTTTAAATTTGCTTTTATATGTTTTACATTTACACCTATCAGTGTGCCATCATTTTAACAAATAATGTATATTTTTTTTTTTAATGTTTTACACTCGGGTTCATATATTGACATTAACATTTATCAATGAAAAGCTTAAATACTATTTTTAATTAAAAAAATACAATGTTAATTAACATTTTTTTTTGTTTATGATTAATAACATTTCTTTGGACAAAAACCAAAAGGTAGATTTTGAGCTATAATAAAAGGCTCCCAGGTCTACTTAGTACTTAGTACTGCTTGAATTGCACATTTAAACTCCTATGAATCTGAAATAACTTTATTCATACATTATAATTTAATGTTTATAATATTATGAACATACACAATTTTTTATGTAATATAATTTCAATTAGTAAATAGTAAATTATAAAAATAATAAAAATAAATTTTTATAATAATAATATGAACATACAGTTTTTTGCGATATAGTTTTAAAATAACTTAGGAGAGTTTAGTAGTTTACCACCGCTCATGAAACTATATAAATAAGAACAGCACAAAGAACATAATATTTACCTATATATTTTTTTTAATGTTTAATAATATACAGTTTAGTATTAGTTTACAGTTAACATTACAAAAAAAAACAACAATGCATAAAATAGTTCAACATAAATTCAAATCAGAACATTATAGGTACCTATTTGTTTTTTTTATTAAATTTAAGTACCCATGTTAGATTGAAACCAGTTTTATTACAAAACCTACTAAATAAAATATAAATCTTAATTACCTATTATTCATGTATTTTGAAATACTTAGGGCCTATAAATGGCTTCACAATTAAAGCATTACTAAGTCAATTTAAAATAGAAGTTAGGTTAAAACCAATATAATAGTGTAGGTAAGATATAAAATAAGTATTTAGTGCCTATATTTTATTAAATGATATTTACCACAAAACACACAAAGTGCCTTGGTGCTCAGTGGCTGACCGCAATCACGTAATATTGCTGAAGGCACCCGGCATCACTAGCTTCTGGATGGGTGACTACTCAGGTTTTTAGCGACAAAACATGGTACACATAACACATACACAATACCACATGTTACAACTCAAAAAACCCTCAACTCAAAAACCTACTAAAAAGATACAAAAAAATATTCAACTACCCACACTCAGCGACCTATGTTTCTGCGGTTTACCCTTAATAAAAATAAAAAAAGACAAAATACAAGAATTTCACTTTATCATTATACATATAGTTAGGTTCTGGAAATACGTACATATTTTTATTTATTCTATAAGCTAACACACAATTAGTACAATAATTATGAAGACTTGTTACATCTTTTGTTTGTAGGCAAGTCAACTGATAAATTATTATTTTTGTTAAATTAAAAACATTAGAAATATTTATTTTTAAAATAATTTACATGACTCATACAAATGTTTAGTACATTTCTCTCATATAAATTATGTTAATCATAGTTATATCACTTATATCTTAAAAACTGAATATGTTACTTTTGATTGTTCTTCATCAAAGTCTGACACTTCCAAGTGAATTTTTAACTGACATAACTTTTCTAGCACAGCAATGCCTTAAAAATAAAATTATTATTGCATTATTTTTACACTTTTAAAATTAATGAATAAGTATAAATTAAGTTTTTAATAATAGTTTTTACCTTCTTCTCTGTTATTACCATATTTACATTCCCATGCATCAAATAGCATATTGTAATATCTGGAGCCATCAAAGTATTGATGATATTCAAAAGATTTAGTGGTTGGAAATACTTTTTTAAATCTAAAATCATAAAAATCTTGCTAGTATGTTTTTGTCATATATAGTTATAAATATATTTTGGTTATAATGAAACACATACGAGCCGATTTGTGTAAGTTCATCTTCATAAATAATTAGATGGCGAATATCATCTGGTAAAAGATCTTCTAATATGCTATCAATATACTAAAAAAAAAATTGAAAGTCTACAGTAATTGATACTATTAAATGTAATTAATAGTTTAGTACTTCTATTCTGGATTCAACATTTGCAAAATATTCTTGTTTTTCTTTTTCTCTATCAGATAAATTAAATGTATATAATCTTTTATCATAACATAGTGGTGATTTGACTCCTAACATCTCGAGTAAATTATTCTACAAAAATTTGAAAAATAGGAATGCAGGTCATTGAAATTAGTTGAATAAAATGTACATTTGTAAAAGCTATTATATAACTCACATGTGTACTACGAGACATTTTGTTTGGGATATGATAACCAACCATATTCATTAGGTCTTTAACTAATGGTCCTTTGACAGCCAAGTCAAGCGGAGAAGATGAATGTAATGAAGGAGATATATTGACCTAACATTGTACAAAAATATCATTCAACAATTCAACTTTATAAACATTTAATTTTAATTTTACCTCTAATATCCAAGGTTTAAGATATTCATCGAACAAGACATCTATTCCAAATAACTCGTATGCGTTATATCTATTACTCAGATTTGAACTACACATTTGACTCATAGGTGATTCGCCACTAATGACAGTTTTTACAACTAGATCTTCTAAGCTCGTCCACAATTTTTTTACGTCAACCTTGCGTTCTTTCTCCAGATATGTCCATAATGAACGTAATGTCCTAAGTTATTGTAATCAATTATTAATCTTTACATATTTTTAAATATAAAACCTAACACAAAATCTAAAATAAATAAAGTAAATACAATTTATTTACCATTTATGGCCTTGACATGCATCCGCATCTTCATTTTCGGTATACTGACTACTAAGTCTGTTAATACTGTAGTTGGTCAAATGCATGTATCGATCACATATAGTGTTAAGATCAGATGAATACTTAACTAAAATAATAAAGATAAATAAGTGATAGTGTCAATTATATAGCAAAAATGATAATACCTGAAGCAAATCGTACAAGACCATTATCATAGAGATATATACGAAGTGGATTGATTGAAGTGATGAGTATGTAAAGTCTTAAATCAAATTTGGTATCATTGATTAAATATGGATTATCTATGTATCTTTGAACAACCAAAGGTATTTTCTTTGGTATTTGATCCCATTTTGATATAACATAAATTCCAGTTCCTCTAGCAGACGCTGGCTGTAAATTAATTCAAGATATTAGTTCATGCATTTGGTATTTTAAGGAACGAATTTAAAAATAATACTGGTTTAACAATCCATTTATCTTCATCATTTTTCTCCCAAACTTGTCTTAAAATGCTAACTTCTTGAGGTAATATGTATGATGTGGGTATAAAACCAAAATGTTCATTGCCATATTTTATCATTAATCTATGCAAATTTTTCCACAACCTATCTTTGCGACCAATTTGAAAAGTACCCGGAAAATGGTTAAGTTTTTGTTGTTGCCAAAGTGTCTTGAAACATAATGATTTCATGTGTTTACCCCAAGTTCCAACCCAATCATTAGATTCTTAAAAATAATAATAATAAAATCAAACATTACATTTTATTAGTTACATTTATATAATAGTATAATACCTACTAGAATAAATTAAAAGGAAAAAAGTACAGATACACTCACCAGATCGAGGTAACATCATTAATTCATTAGGTGGAGGAACTACACCACAGAAAGCATCAACAATAGGAGGTGTAACACCACAGTGATTTTGTAAGGAAATGGCATTTGGATTTGATTGATTAGTCATGATAGAAGGATCAGTTACAGTATCTAAACTATGCTCACTTCTGACAAGTTTAAAACCACTATTTTGGATAGTTCGACGTACAACAATTGGAGTTATAGAACTTAGTTTCCATTTTAATAACTTTTGCAAAGATAATGGAAATGATTCACCTGTGAAAATTATTATTGAAAAATTTATAATTTTTATCAAAGTAAATATTAAACAAAAGTGTTGATACCTTTAATATCGTGTGAAGAAAATCTTATGTATGGTGGCATATTAGAAAATAAACTAGGTCTTAAGGCTGAATGATATTCAACATTATCTTTTTGTTTTTGAGCACCTGTAAGTTCTTTTGTATCCAAAATTATCATTATTATACAAGTATATATTATATATTTGTTTTACTAAATTAATATTTAAAACATATAATATAATGGGTACCTAAAAATAAATGTTCAAAAGCTAATTTATTTGGTTCATCAGTCATACAATTTTGTTCTATACCCTTGTTAAGGGTTTGCACTTTTGGAGTTTCTAATCTTTTTCGAGCATCTATTATAGAAACAGTTTATACATTAATAAACAAATACATAGTATTATGGCGAATTGTAGTTAATATTTACTTTCAGATGGTAAGTTTACGAGTGTTTTTAATGAGCTGAAATAAAATAATACGATAAATAGATTTAAAAATAAAATAATTAATTGTTTGATTTTATTCTTACTTAGCAGGAAACATAGATGTGTTATTTATATTACCAGTCCTTTTAGTTTTAGGTGTTAATATTTTGTTATTTTTATAAGATGATTTTGATTTTGATTTTGATTTTTCACTATTAAGTATTAATCCTGGTGTTGAGTTTGTTTGTTTGAGAATTTGTTTGTCTTCTTTAGTAATCATTAATGGTTCATTCACCTTAGGAGTAACTTTAATGTTTTTCATTGACTTAAATGTTTCTTTTGATTCATCAGGCATAAGTGTAGCTAACTGCAGTACATGGTTGACAAACGTTTTCTGAATTGGAATGTTTATGAGATCTTTATTCTTTGGATTTGAATTGTTCAAATGACAATTTATGGTTAAAGATGAGCATCCTATATTTTTTGTACAATTTGTAGAAATATGGTGCTTTGTAGGAACTGTTGGTAATACCTAAAGTATAATTTAAAACACAAATAAATAAAAAATTATTTTTTCTGCAATACATACCTTAAGCTGGCGATTAACAGGAGATTGTACTATGTGCATATTATCGTTTTTAGGTGGCGTATAATTTAATTGATCAATTTTGAAGTCTTCTTGGTGTTTTCGATGATGACAGTTTGCATTTTCTTCGCATTGCTTTGAATTACAATGATACTGAAAATCATCATTGCATCTATCTTTTTGTTCTATTTCAAACATAGATTTTGCTGTACAATCTTTCTTTTTGTTTCCTTAAAAAAAATTAGTATTTTTCTGTGTAGTTAGTTTTAATAAGTTTCTAATTAGTTTATTAATTTTGAATAATCCTAATTTCTAATCTCTTCTGTTTTGTAGATCAAAATTGTGTCAATTTTTATTTTACCTAAATAACAACTTTTTAATAAACTAGGTAATTAAAAATTTCTTATCCTACTTACCTAATGAATTATGAGATCGTGATAATGCATTTGAGTCGTTAAAATTATCCAATGTAGGATCAGTATCCAAAATTGGATAAGGACTTAATTTTAGTAGTCTTTCTGAATTTTGATCCATTGTTTGATGTAAGTTGGTACGGAAAGTTTGTAAACGATCTGTAGGATAATACTGTTCTCTAATCTCATCTGATGAAAATACATCATGTTGTTGGTGGTGTGTATCAAGTGGTTGTGATATTTTTATTCTATTCATGTGTACATTACATGCAGGACAAAAACAGTTTTCTGGTACAGATCCTTCATTTGGCAGATTATTAACTAATAATAAAATGTTATTTTAAATAAGAATTGTTTAATAAGCTTATTTCCTATTTCTTGGTACCTATCTTACTTACCTAATGACTGAGGAGATCTGGATAGTGTATTTGAGTAATTTAAGTTGTCCAATGTAGGATCAGTATCCAAAATTAGATAGGGATTTAATTTTAGCAGTACTTCTGAACTATGATTCTTTATTTGATGTAAGTTGGTATGAAGAGTTTGTAATTGATCCATAGGTTTCCACAGTTCTTTAATTCCATCTGATGACAATGATTTATGTTGTTGGTGAATATCAAGTGGTTGAAATCTTTTTATTCTATTCATATGTACATTGCATACCGGGCAAAAAAAATGTTCTAGTACTGTTCCGTCATCTTTAGAATTATTGAACATATCTGTAGGTAATATTGAGTATGATTTATTGTTCATTTTCTATCAACTTGTTTATTATTACAAAACAACTGTTAGATTTGTCTGTTAAAATGATAAATTATTTAAAAAAAAATTAATTAAAAGCATTAGGTAGGCATAGTAAAACTATATTAAGACACAGAATTATGTTGTTATATTATACATACAATTAAACACCATAGTAAATATACATACATTTATTTTGAAATATATTATTGAGCAAGAGAGGAGAATACGCTAAGATGTGTTTTAAATAAATGAGGTCAATAGTTAAATAGTGGGATGTGTTTAGTATAGAGGCACTTGGCACAATGAAAGATATACTTTGGCGTATATGAATACCTATATACTCATTATACTCTATCATTTATAGAATGACATTAAGAAGAAGCTATAGTTCAAATTATCCCTTGGAATTCTTTAAAATATTTTTCAAAAATAAGTGTAGAACTATTGTATCTATCATTATTTATAGAAAACAAATTAATATAAATACAATTCAAGTGTAAAATATTTTTCTCCAAATTATTGAATTCAATAAATCACCCTAATTTATTGTAGATAATATTATCCACCTACAGCATCCAAATAGAAGTTTTAAACAAATTTAAAGTTCATAGAATAATATAAAAGTAGTTACGTCAAACTATTATAAACCTTACATAGTAGGTACTTACACTTTAGAGTCCAAAATTTACCAAAAATAGCTAACAACCAAATACATTCATAATAATCTAAAAAAAAAAAATGAATTGAGCTTTATTAAATTGTGATTAGAGTTCATGATCTTAATAAGATTAACATGAATGTTCCTAAGTGCCACTGGGTCATCATTACAAAATAAGTGACCTATAAGCTTAAAAAATATTTGGATAGTTTAATAAGTATTGGGTAATTTTTTAAAACGTATTCACTTATTATATTGCCTACTAGCTGTATAACCCGAATTTAACAGAAAAAATTTAAAAATCATAAAATACGGTGCTATATCGATGAAGCTCGATATAAATTTCATGGATTTAGTGTACCTACCTCATTTCACGGACCATGGTATGTGTGGGTACATCGATGTACCTCGTTTTGTGAACTAATTCAACTGAGATAGGAAATCCGACCGGTGTGGATTGGACGTGTAGCACTTGGTTTATTTTCGAACATGGTTCAAAAATTCAAATTACAATTCTCTAAACTTTCCTGATATCTCGAAGAACAATCTCTGAAACTTTCATAAAAATTGGTCGAGTAGTTTTTGACTTTTTTAGTTTTTGTGCTACAAACATAAGGCAATGGCCTTTTGTTGTACATTTTAGTACCAACAATTAACAAGTATGTAACAGTTCTACAGTAACAAACAATGAGTTAAATAATATTAAAAACTATTCGATTTTCTTGATCCAAAACGAAATTTATGTGTGAGCCACCCAGAAGCGGAACTAGTGGGGGTGAATTAATTGATCCTCGGGCGTACAATTTTCGTGGACGTAATTTTTTTACGGGCCACGGTCAGTCTAAAGTGTTCGGCGATAGAAGATAGAACACTATTTTTACTTCAAATTGTGTGAAGGAAATAAAATGAAACATATCAAATCATATAGGTAAATCATATAATAATCGTCATTATTTTATTGATTATCTACTACACCACGTAGCGAAAATAGTACAATGTTTTAATCACAACAATAAATCATAAATGTATGGTATTTTGTTTTTTGTCATTTACGTTGTATGACGTATGTCGTTCGTAGTTTGTACCCTATAATACATTAATTGTGATTGTGCCCAATTCACCCTTGTGGTACCTATATGGGCATCAAAGTTTCAAAAACATTAAGATTATGCACAGACTCACATATAGTCAGACTTAAATGTTTAAGGTTTTAAACGAAAGCAGGCATGTATGATGTATCGATGCTGTGTTTTCGTTAACATTTCTGATTCACAATAACTTATAATTTTTTACGTCATATCAAATATTTAAACATCAAATCATATCAATAATGGGAGTGTAAATATATAATAATGTGTTATGGGCAATGTCAATGTAAACCATGAATTTTTTTTTATAACCTACTAATATTATTTTTTATTATTATTATAAATTATAATTATCACCTATTTTTAGTATCGATTTTTTTTTTAAACAATCATTATTAATTTTATTCATGTATCATAATTCATAATGTTACGAACATTTTTGCCTATTTATTTGCACAAGATTTAGAAGCATGGAATTACATAGTCTGTTTGATTTTCTACACTTGATTCTTAAATAGGCAGTACGATAAGTAACAAAAATAAGTTTATACAGAGTGTTTCAAGAAATTCATAGTTTATTGTACTATGATACACGAATAAAACTAATAATGGTTGTTAAAAAAAAAAAATAAATACTTTATAATAATTATAATTTATAATGATAATAAAAAATAATATTAGTTGTAGGTGCACATTGCCCGTAACATATATATTATAAGCACAGATAGTTAGATAGGTATTAAATTTTTTTTTTTTCTATTTAAGTACTTATGTTTACGAAGGAGTTTAATGAGTGATAGTTTTACTTCCAAATAAAACACCATACGGTATTTTAAGATGATTGGAATTTAAGTATTTAAGACTAACTAATACCTAGTTGTTACAAAATTTAAAATATTATTTTTTATGTTGCAACCAAAATACTCACAAACGATTACTAAATATTTGAATCAATACATTTAATTTTACGAATAATGTGGTTGAAAAAACAAGTTTAAACCACCCTCAGAGTTTCAACGAATCTATTCATATGCCATATACCTAAAAGTATCTAACGTTTATTGAAATAGGTTAAGCCATTACCTGTAAGTATATAATTCATTGCACATTTATATTGATAGATAAGGCTATAAATTAATTATAGCAAAAACGTATAGATTAAATACTGCAATTTACTGGTCAAAGAATAGAAGTTCAAATAAATTATCTTTTAGTGAAAAATGAGATTATACCTAGTTGGCTAGTTGAATCTTTATTGTTAGGGGCCCGTGTCTTATATCTTATATTTTAAAATTACCGGGATACGATATTTTTTTTCAAAAATTGAATGTTAAAACATGGTCTACCCGATTAAAATTGGTTTAGTATAGTATAGTATAGTATATAATAGTATTAAATAGGCACAATATAGGAAAGAATTAATTAACTAATTAAAACGAGTAGGTACCTATAGTAGAACCTCGATTATCCGTTATATAATGAGACTACGTCTAGTTTGGAAACACGAAGTAACGAATATTGGGAATCTTTTGAATACTATAATACTATTAATAGGTTTTAATAAATTATAAATTAATTTTTAATCCATGGGTTTATCGTATATTATGTGAGACGTATATCTACATAGGGTAACAAATAATATTATTTACCTAATATGACATTATATTAATATACCTATGCGTATCGCGTGTGTAATATTTATCACGAAAAACATTATTTATATTATTAATATCGAATTATTATATGCGAACATTGATTTATTATATTATTATATTATTATAGGTACATATTATACTTAATTGATTACGTGTACGAGCGCTAGTGCGCTACAAGTTACAACGCATTCGGATATAAAAATTAAAAGGTACCTACTTAAATTACAGTTGGGATGATGGATATGGCTCGTACAGCGGAAGTTTGGATGATCGAAGTTTTACTGTACTTATAAACGAGAATAGGTACGTATAGATATTACAGGCACATATACAGGGGCGGAGTGGCCCGGCTTGCTTATATAAGAAGTGGCCTGGTCCTGGTGTGATAAAAATAATTAATATTTAAAATATTTAGCTATTTTTGACGACTGTAAAAACTACGAAAACAAATTAATAATGTGATATGTGAACCACCAATATTATTAAATTGTTTTATACTTCACCCAATCAAAAAATAGTAAGCACACATTTAGCAATAAGACAATAAATGGTAAGAAATTAAATTTGAAAAAAATGGCCTGAAATAAATTTATGTGGCCTGAAAATATCTGTTTGCCCGGTAAGAATTGTTGAGCCACTCAGCCCCTGGGCACATATTATACTGTCCGAGGTACTCACCATCAGTGAAAGAGCCAACAACAAGATTAAAAAAAAAGAATTTGTTTAGTATACTGGACACGTAAACACTTGGTTTTAATTTAAGTGTACAGTATACATCGGATAAAATTATAAACTAGTAGGTACTTAATAATAAAACGGTAAAAAACTAAAAAGACAATGGAATTTGGCGGAGGAAAACGTATGAAATAACTCACCATGGATACGATCACGATAACATAATATTATAATAATAATAATAATAATAATAATAATAATAATAATAATAATAAATGTATATAAATGTCGATAAAAAAAAGCTTGAAAATCTAGAACAAGTTTCGTCGTAAAACATACTTTCAAGATTTATGGAAAAAAAATGAATAAACCTAATTCCACAAATATTTTTATGAGCGCGCCTGACATTTAAATTTTGATGAACCTTGATATTCAAGCAAAAAATGATTGTTTTTCAAGATATAAGATTATCTGTAGAATGTTAACCGAACGATTCATTTACATAAAATACATAAAATAACTACATACTTTTATTTCTGGCCAAATATTACATGCAGGGCTTATAATGCTTTTTTCAAAATCAGAATATATTTTACAGGATAAAGCTTAAAGTTTAAATTTGAACATAAGGGCTTAACATTTTCAAATACATATATTCATAAACTTCACCAAATTTTGATGGTTTATTAACAAACAAAAGAACCAGAGGTTTGTAATGATTATTATATAATCCATGATTTGTAAAAAGATGACAAAAATTTGTGTGCCATAAGTAAATGTACCATCGACGTACACATGGTATTAACCAACATTTTGTGGTACCTACACTTAAGAATTACAATATTTTTTTCTATGTTATTTACTGCAATCAATGATTGGCCTTTAGATTATTACATATTTTTTGATACTAAAATTATTGAACTTCAACAATTTTTTTGTTTGGAGTATTGTTTGTAAGGAAATGATGGTTGTGATTTAAATGGCTACTCACAGTTAGGTACATTTCCATTTTTAATTAGTCTTGCTTAATACGATATCATTGTACAACTCCAAGTTACATTACCAGATCACTTTGACACTT